AATGCATGTGCTTGAAATTTTGTAGTGGTTATAGAAACCGCTGCCAAGTGTGGGCATAATTTTAGCTTGGCGTGAATCAAAATTTTCAATTTGGCCGCAAAATTTGTAGCCGTTATTTAACCGCTACAAATGGCAAAATTTTCAAAAAAATGGCGCCACCAAGAGGATTTTGTTGTGGTTAGAAACCGCTACAAATGTGAAAATATTATTTAATTTTATTTTTTGTAGCAGTTTTATGATCGCTACAAATGTTACATTGAAATTTAAAAAAAAAAGAAATTTATTTGCAGGTCTGCAATTAATTAAATTTTTGAGATAAAATATAATAAATTAAATATGATTTGTAAATATAATCTTGGAAATTAAATTTGTTATCAAATCTTATTCAAATTTGTCTCCTATAAGGAAATTTTACTAATATTTTAAGTACTAAATAAATATTATTAGAAGATCTATAGTTTTATAATTAAAAAATTTTCTGAAATGTTATTTATGAATATAAGAAATAAATTAGAAAGAGTAGAAAATAAAAGTAAATAAATCCTGCATGAAAAAAAGAAAAAATTTATTAGTAAATTAAAATTAAATAATATGAGAAAATAAAAGTAAATAAGCAATAAAAAAAACTTACAATATGAAAATGGGAGGAAAAATATCAAAGGAGAGGAGGAGAAATTTTTAGATGAGAAAAATCAGAAAAGAGGAGGAAAAGTGAAGGAGGTGTGAAAAATAAGAGGGAGAGGGGGTATTTATAGATAGCCAGTGACATTTGTGGCAATTTTGTTCATTTTGTAGCGGTTTATTGATTTTCCAACAATTATAAAATCGCTACAAATGTGAAAAGTTTGCTTAAAAAAAACTTACTAATTTTGAAAAAATGGTTTGGAATGAACTATTGAAAATTTAGTCTTCATCACCTTGCTTGAAAGGAAATATATAAAGTCAAATAATGAGAAATAATTATAACACACATAAATTTAAATTAAAACATATATTGTTAATTAATATAACAAAAATGAACCAAAATTATATGTAAAAAAGAAATACCTAACACTTGATAAATTGTCATCTCCTTTGGAGAAGAAATTTTCAAAATTCATTAGTTGGAAGGGTTCACTGTTATAAATGATGTCATCACCATCATCACCCATGTCATAAAGATTTCGCGACTTGAGGTGAATCACCATACTCCAATCTTTATGTTTCTCATCCTCAACATAATAAACTTGGTGTGCCTCATAGGCAAGAATGTATGGCTTATGATCTTCAGATTCTCTCGTATGAATAAGCCTGGAGAAATTAATAGATATGATGTCCAGTTCGCCAATAATAAATTCACGTGAAGTTATCGTTGTAACACCTTTATCCCAAGGATTTAAATATTTAAAAATTAAAAAAAAAGAGGTTCTAAGCTATTATTTACTCCGTCTTAAAAAGGGTCTTTAACTTCAATTTATCCTTAATACTTTTTTTTACTGTCGTGTCATTTTTCTTTTCCTCTCTCTCTCCCCTCTCACAGTGTCGTTCTCTCTCTCTCTCGTTTCTTTTTCCGTTATTACAGATCATTTTGGTAAGAAAAACTACTTCTAATTGCAAAACTTCCTTCATGAAAGTTGTTCTACTTAGCCATAACTATCTAATGATAGTAATTTTGTGTTGCTAAGAGAAAATTTTTGGTACAGAGTTTGGAACAAGTATTTAGTTTTGATGAGTATTAACTGTAATATTGTAGATATGTTATAATAGATCAGTTCTATGAGTTTAGATTTATCCATTGTTGGTTTTAGTATTTAAAAAAATTAAGTGTTAGTTGAAAAATCTATTATTTATGAGACATATCACACTACAAAAAAAAAAGGAGATTAGGAACCGAAATTAGTGATAGAATTTTAGTCGCTAAATTGGTTAGTGACAGAAATTCCATCGTTAATACGTCAAAAAAAAATTGTGACAGAATTTGTGACGAAAAGTGTTCTGTCACTAATTGATTTGTGATGGAAATAAAGAATCCCTTGCTAATTTGGCGACAGAGTTGTGATAGACATTTGTGATGAATTAGTGAGGGAGTAGTCCGTCACTAATTTTTGACGAAAATTTCGTCACAAAATTCTGATAGACTTATGACAGCATTTCTGTCACAAATTTTGACAGACTTGTGAGAGAAATCCATTACAAATTTGTGACAGAATTGTGACAAAGTTTTTGTCAAAAAATTGCACACATTTGTGACGGAAATTGCGTCGTAAATTTATGACGGAATTTTCAGTCACATGTTAACCACGGATTTGTGATGGAACTGTTCGTCACAAATTAGTGACAGAATTCCCTAGAAAATTTGTCACTAATGTTCCATGTTTTTTTTTATTGATTGTATATTTAGAGACAGAAGTTCTGTCATAGATCCATGAAAGTTTTTTTATTTTTTATTTTTTGTTTCAAGCCGCATTTCCTGTAAGAAACAAATTGAAATTATAATTATAATATAGCTAATATTCAAACCAAATTAAACTAGCAATTGTCATAACAAGCAACAAATCTAAAAATGTCAAGTCCCAAATTAAAGAGCAACCGTTATAACAAGTCTAATATTAAACAAACTACTAATTATCATTATGTGGACTTGCTTCACTTTGAGTGCTGGAGTTGATAGGCGACCCAATTGAGAATTTTCGCTCAAGTGCTTCCAACCTAGACAAGATGGTGACATTCAATTATCTGATCTTCATTTTCTTGTTTAAGCTCTGAGACAATATTTTGAAGATCAGGTTGGACTTCTATGTTGATGGAAGGAGGAGACATATGAGAAGAATGTGTTAGTGGCAGTCTCACCTAAGGAGGGTGAATTAGGTGAGTTATGAAAATTTTAACCGAATTGAAATGATGAAATTAATAAAACAGAGGGCTTTAGACATAGAAAGATTTCACCGTAAATTAAAGACACTGGATTTATACTGGTTCGGTCTTAACCACTTGACGTACATCTAGTCCTCAAATACCTCTGAGATTTTCACTATGATCCAAGATTAACCGGGCTCTTGGTGCCTCAGTACAGTAATTGATCTTCTCAACCACTCCCTTTTACTACCCGTAAGGTTACAAACCCACTCAAGAGTCCACACTCTTGAGCTACACTCAGAAAGTGATTAAAGATGATATGTTAGTCTCTCTCACAGGGTAAATGAATGAGAAACACTGAAGCTCAGTAAAGACAAAAACAGAGTATTGAATGCAATAGTAAAATATTTGCAGAAGCTAGCTCGTGTATTCAATATCCGCATTCAATGCTTATTCACGCCTTTTATAGTTGTGGAAGTTTAATAACTGTTAGATGGAAGAGCTTCTAGCCTTTGAGAGTTCAATTGCGTGTTTTCCCAATTACAACAGTATTTGCCATTTAATGCTTCTGACATGGTAGGTTATAGGCTACTGAATAACTGTTGGATAACCATTGAACTTTCTTCGTAATCTGTAACAATACTTCAATCTAATAAGTTTTTACTTCAGAATGACATTCAGGAAGATAACTGATAAAATGATAGTAATATTCTCATGGTAGGAGAGAAGTAAATCAATCAAACATCAGATCCAATAACTATAAACTGATCAACCTTGATCGAAGACATGATCGATAACTGGTTTATCGATTACATTATCGATTAATAAAGATGAAAGATTTTGAAACAGATAACTATATTTATCGATTAAGTTATGGATTAACACATGATCGATCCAATGATCGATAAATGAAAAGATTGATTTTAGAGGAAGAAGGCTCAAGGTCACTTATGATTTTGAATCTCTTAAAATAAAGAATTAAGATAAATAGTAAGGCTGAGAAAAGCTCGAAGAGAAATATTCAAAAGATTCTTAAATCTCACCGAAGCTTCTGGTATTGAAAGTGCTAGATCATTGATCGAATAAGTGATCAAAAAATGTTTGATCGATCAATTTATCAATAAAAATAAGCAGGAGAGAGTTTGATTTTTAAGGTACATTGATCGAATACTTTATCAATAAACAGATGACAGAAAATTTAGTCGATAAAACGAAGTTTAACAAAGATTTTCATAAAGAGTACAAATCCTAAGATGATCGAGTAAGTGATCAATTAGAGACTTATCGATCAAGTGATCGATAACAATGTAGTCAAAAAGCTCAATTCTGAAATGTTAGGAGCATGTTTGATCGATCACGTTATGTGAAAATAGAATATTTAGAAGATTGGATGATTAATCAATTTATCGATAAATTGATGATTGATCAAGTGATCGAAGAAAGACTTAAACAGTTTAAATCAGTGAAAAGGTGATGATCGTTCATTTGATCGATAAACCGTTGATCGATCAGGTGATCGGTAAAGTAATTTTCAAAAGAACTTAAACAGAAGAAAAATATCAATAAGCAGGTGAGATATTATGCAATAAGAGAATAGGTTATTGATAAAGCTGAGATCGACAAAGTGATCGATAAATGGTGATTAAAACAAAATACAACGAGAGGAGGAAGTTTTACCATTTATCTCTCTTCTCATCAATAACTCATTTATCGATCAAGTGATCAATAAACACTTACCAAAACTTGTGTCCTATTATCTATCAGTTGTTCGATCACTAGATTATCAATCAATTGATTGATAATTTTCTGCAAACTTCTATATAAAAAGGTGTTAACAATGATCGATCAACACATACAAATTTGATTTATCTATCAAGTTATTGATTAATATTTCTACTAAGTTATTTGTTTACACAAGAACTTTATCTATCAAGTCATCAATAAACCTTTGATCGATCAGTGATCGATCAACTTACTAAAACACAGATTTCTTAATTTGTTATCATCAAAACCTTGAATCTAACAGAATGTTGTGTGTAGTCATTATACTGGGCATCAAATCCTAAGCCATAGATTTGACCCTTCTTGTTCTTAGCACCAGAAGCCTGCAACCAAATCCTCACTTCTTTACCATCTAGCTGATTTGATTCCTCCACACTTGGAGATCGACAATAGAACTCCTGGATGCCTTGATCCTCATGTAATGTTCCTGTGAAAAAGGAAAGTAAAAAATTCAAAATATAAAAGCATTGACAAGCACACAAATAGGAAATTCTCAACGAATCTGGAAAACAACAATCCAGAGTGAACAAGCCTTAAAATAGCTACTGGCAGAGACCAAAATCTAATGATGTAACCTCCAAGTTTATTCAAAATAATGACTAAGCTCACCGAAGTACTTTATATGCTTAAAAGATTGCTTAGGGACAATGCAAAAAGTCATGGAGACAGCATGAATCCAAGTGAATTTCATGCCAAATTTGCCCCAAAACTAGTCACATGCACTATCTAAATTAACCACATATAGGTGTGAGTTCATTAATGCCAACCAAGTTAGAAAATGTACACTAGCAGCTTGGGTAAAAGAGGGCACTTAATAGTTCACTTTGTCAAAAATTCAGGTATGAATCATTTAATCCATTATTTGCTCACAATTACACTACTTGTAGCAAATTCAAAAAGCAAACCACTTGAAAAGCCTAGAAATACATGTAGCAGCAAGCATCTGCTGACAGAAATGAATTTCCTTCAGCATAAATTATTTTAGAAATGAATTATGCAAAATTTTAGGAATGCACATTCAAAATTGAATCTGGTGATATAATTTGAATAGTTAAAAGCATATGCACAGCAAAATAAATACTCATTTTTTCTTAAAAGACCAAAACATACATTATAACAAAAGAAAAGGACAGTATTAGAAAGAGAAGTTGTTCCAAGTATGGAAGCTCCATATTCCAACCACAAATAACAGCAAATTTTGATAGCTTACTCTTTGTAGCAAGCACAATTTGTACCAAAGAGTAGAATCACAAGCTATTTTAATGAGATGCACAATATTTTCATAATTTATATTTGAAACATAAATAAAAATACCTTTCTTACTAGTTCAGCCACAGATTCTTACTAATTTTGATATACTTGAGACGTGTTGCTAGTTTGTTATTGGCTGGGTTTGAGACTCAAACGAGAGGAAAACCAAAAGAAAATTTAAAAGTAATAAGGACAAAATAATATAAAATAACTTCCAAATATAATACTTATTAATACGAGAAGCATGCACAATTAGAATATCTACATATTTCTATTACTATTACCATTATTATTATACCACCAGTAAGGCATTTTCAAAGGCTAGGAACTAAAGACGGCTAAATTCCCATCCTTCCATTGAGGTAGCAAAAAGAAATTCTTATTCTTATTTTAATTCAATTGGGGGAAAAACTTACCTAGGAAATAAGGGGGTATACAGCTAGACACTCTCCCCAAAAAAAGGGCAAAAAAGAAAGCTATCGATGCTAAAAAATATAAGGCTAACCAAACCGTCCACCGCATGTGAATGAGTTTACAATGAAAACAAAAATTTATTTATAAAAAAAAAAACCAAACCAAACAAACAAAAAAAAAAAAAGAAGACTATGGGTTCTTAACCTAAGAGAGGCAGTAAAAAGCAACATGTCCCTTATCATATGAGATGACAATGAAATGGCCCTAAGATATGCATTCCTTTTTCTTTCCCCCTTTTTCAGATGAAAAGTTCTACAAGAATTCAACAGCAAATTTTGGCCGCATCTATATGGGATAAAAGTGATAACAAACACTTCTTAAGAATTCCATTTCTGAAATAAATACAAAAACTATTTATATTATTAAAATATACAGGATGTGGTTGTTCTGAGCATACAACACCTAAAAACAAGGTAAAGATGGTTTTTATGCAATGAGACCTCTTAAAAAGGTCCAGAAGTATTATTCTCAACTAGCATATGATATGAAAGAGGCACAAAAAGAGAAATTCAAAGGTGTGCTTAGATTGAGAAGGAAAGTAAAATTTTAATGTTAATATTTTATTTGATTTTATTTAGATTATAAAGCTAACATTTTTCTTCCATTCTCCCCATTCAAATTTTAATGTTCATATTTTATTTGATTTTATGAAATAATGTCAATTAATGAATCGGAACAAAACAAATTAAAGTCTCATTTTCATCGATGACAATGGATATCACCGTTGAAGGTATGCCTTTCAAAACTTTTGGTATGGACTATGGCATTAATTAAACAGAAGCAAAAGCGTGAAGATTTTGATCGATATAGAATGTAATCATATTTTAATTAGATTATTTAACCCTACTAAATATATAGTTGATGCAGACTAGTAACCACAAGTAAAGAATTAAAGACCCACACTACAACTAGTCAGGCCTCAGGCCATTAGCACAGCCCTACAGAAAAAGATTCTAGAAAAATATATACTTACAGAAACTTCAGTTGACCTAATATCCACAAATTGGTTAGTTTTGATAGCAAAGTGCGTCTTTGTGAACAATTCACATTAAGTAGGATTTCTTCCCAACTGCAAAGCCTGTAGTTATTTATAAAAAAAAAAAGATTATATCATGCATTAAATAGTTATTTATAAAAAATGATCATGTCATGCATTAAATAAATAAAGATTACAGCTGAAAATAAATGTTAAGCTTTTGCATTAAAGTGCAATCGCTTAGCAAAATGCTATTCTAAAATAAAATTTTTGGAAAAAAATCTGAAATTATAAGGTTAAAAAAAAAAAAGTAGACTTGCGCCAATTTATATATATATATATATATATATAAAATGATATATGAGATTGGAAAAGAGATAGCAATTATATTGAGTCAAAATGTAATCCTAATTAATTTTTGTTTTCAATAACTATTTTTGTATAGTTCAAATGGTTAATTAACTTGTCACAATGCTATTATTTTTTTGAGTGAAACAATGCTACTATATTAACTCGTTAATAAGATCTGACTCTAAGGATTAAAATATAAGCCAATTTCAATATCATCATCTATAGATGAAGTGCTTTATGTTGTGTTGATGTTTTTGGGGATAATATAAATTACAATAAGTTAGTGTTATTAATTATACTAATTGAAGCACGGGATAGCATTTTCTAGTTGTATATCATAAGAGTAAATGAATTAATTTAATTGCAATATTTGATTGGAGGTTCAAGGCTAACAGTTAATTCATTTCAAAAAAGACCTAGAAACATCATTTAGGAAAAATACAGCTTAATGGGTGATTTAAAAATGAAAACTTTGAATAGACACAAAAACCCATATACCAAAAAAAGCAAGTTTAGAAGCAGACATAGATAAAGCGGAAATACATTCAAAGCACCGAAATTTATTTAAGTCAAACTAAAAATTTATATTATTTTTAAAGATAAACACGCAACCGATTTTAAGAAGAATCAAATTCAGAAAGAGCAACCGCTAGAGGATTACAATGGTTTAATGGAGGAACAAAGAGAGCTTATGGGAAGAGAATGGCAACTCAGGTTCAAAGTGATATACGGAGAAGCTAATACGTGTGCTAACAAGATGGCGCATCAAGCTTTCCTTCAATCCAAAAAGAAAAGAACTTGGGTAATACCTCCAATAGAGTTGGAAGAACAATTGCACAAGGATCTACTGGGCATCGAGACTCCAAGACAAGTTTGCATGGTTTACCATAATCTTTTGGTTTTGTATTCTATTTAGTTTATCTTTATTCACCAAAAACAAAAACAAAAAAGAAGAAAACTCACCTTGAGGTTGGTGATGAAAAGAAACTAGAGACTGAGCTGTAGGAGTTGAAGAAAGAAGTTGAAGCAGAGCGAGGAGAACACGGACGATGATTATGTTGGCCGGTAACAACATCGCTGGTGATGAAAGTTGGAGGAGGAAGTCGATGTTGTTAACATAGGAAGATGATTGAAGAGATTTTGTCACTGATGCGGCGAAGATGAAGTGGTGAGATCTAGGGCTCAAGGAGTGGCGGCTATGGAAAAAGAGGGGTTGAAATGGAGAAAGCATTAGCAGCAATCTTGCGTTTTTCCATCAGGTGCCGAAGAGTGAATTCAAAACGGTGAGCATTGAGCACAATTACACTTATTATTTAATAATAAACTTCATATTATATACGTTTAATAAAAAACTTAAATTATATACGTTTATCTGAAAATTGTTTTTACAATTAAAAAAATCAAACTATTAGTTTCACAATTAATTAATTCTTCTTAACAATAAACATTCTTAATTCCTCCATTATAATGATGTAAAAGTCGATAAATGTAATGAAAATCATATCATTAAGTGACTATGCATCAATAATTATTAAAAGTGAGATAATAAATATATTTGTCATTTTTAATTCAATTGGGTGTTGCAAGATATTAAAAAGTTAAATTTTTTTCACAATTAAAAAATGGAAAATTGGGAATGAATACCTAATTAAAAATTTAATTGGCAAATAGGATCTACAATGATTGATTGCACAAGGAAATATTAGTTGTACACAAAGAAAGATAAGTTGCACAAAGAAAAAATAGTTTGCACAAAATATTATTTGGATATAAGAAATTATTTTGTACATAGGAAAGATGACTTGTACATAAGAGAATTTTATTTGCACAAAAAGAAATTGAGTTACACATTGTACAAAAAAATTATTGTACACAAGGAAAGATAAATTGAACATAAAGGAAGTTAAGTTACATATAATAGAAATTAAGTTGCACAAATTTCTTAGGTCTCATTTGCCAATTAAATTTTTAATAAGGGGTTTATTCCCAATTTTTCCTCAAAAAATCAAAGTATTAGTTTCCCAATTAATTAATTCTTTTTAAGAATAAGCGTTCCTAATTCCTTTGTTATAATGATATGAAAGTCAATAAATATAATGAAAATCAAATCATTAAGTGATATCAATAATAATTCTTAAAAGTGGATAATATATATTAGCTATTTTTAATTCAATTGGGGGTTATAAGACATTAAGAAATTAAATTGTTTTCACAATTAAAAAATCAATGTTTTAGTTTCCCAATTAATTAATTCTTTTTAAGAATAAACGTTCCTAATTCCTTTGTTATAGTGATGTGAAAGTCAATAAATATAATAAAAATCAAATCATTAAGTGACATCAATAATAATTCTTAAAAGTGGATAATATATATTAGCTATTTTTAATTCAATTGGGGGTTATAAGACATCAAGAAGTTAAATTGTTTTCACAATTAAAAAATCAATGTATTAGTCTCCCGATTAATTAATTCTTTTTAAGAATAAACATTTCTAATTCCTCCATTATAATGATGTGAAAGTCAATAAATGTAATGAAAATCACATCATTAAGTGACTATACGTTAATAATTATTAAAAGTGAGATAATATATACATATATTAGCCATTTTTAATTCAATTGGGTGTTACAAGACATTAAAAAGTTAAATTTTTTTCACAATTAAAAAATCAATGTATTAGTTTCCCGATTAATTAATTCTTTTTAAGAATAAACATTCCTAATTCCTCCATTATAATGATGTGAAAGTCGATAAATGTAATGAAAATCATATCATTAAGTGACCATATATCAATAATGATTAAAAGTGAGATAATATATATTAACCATTTTTAATTCAATTGGGTGTTACAAGATATTAAGAATAAAAAAGATAGATCATTAAAAGCACCAACACTTTATACGTATATATGAAAACATTTATCCAGGTTTAATACCATCATCTCTCACTTGCCTCAAGCCTTCTTGTTATGTTAGAGTTCATAAATGGAGGTATGTGGATTAATTCACATAGTAAAGTAATTGAAATTCTTATCTTCTCTTACTTATTTACTTATCATTAGGTTACAAGGGAAAAAGAAAATTGTCACTAAGTTATAAGAAGAATTTATTTTAACACAAATATAAACTACTCTATTAATAATATTAATAATCAAGAGGACCTAATAAAAATAATTCAATTCTTATATCAAAATAAAAAAATTTCTTTCCTTTTTTGTAATTAAAAATAATTATACATAACTTTTACATAATATAAACAACAATAATAAATAACACAAACTGTTTCAAATTAGTGACGGATTTGCGATGGATTTGTAATGGAATTGTGATGGATTAGTGACGGAGATTTGTCATGGAAATTAGTGATGAAAATTTGCGATGGCCTAGTGATGGTAGTTGTGTTAGCGACGGAAATTTGCCACGAAAAATTTCCGTCACAAATTTTCGTCGCAAATCTGACCCTGATTTCTGTCAAAAAGATTGGCTTATCTCATGACAAAGTTAGGGACGGAATTGCAAGGGATTTGTGATGGATTTGTGACAGCTTTTTAACAAAATTAGCTACGGACTTTTGCGATGGATTTAGTGACAGAAAAAATTTCGTCGCTAATTTGTTGCAAATCTTATTTTACTGACAGAAACTTTCGTCGCTAAAATCCGTGGCAAATCCTTTACAATTTCGTCGCTAATATTTGTGACAGAATTAGTCATGGAATAGTGACAGATTTGCGATAAAATAGAATTCCGTCACTAATTCCCTGTTTTTTTTAGTGTCATATTTATACCGATTAAAATTAAGTTAAATAATTTATTTGGGTTGTTTGGCATATTATTGAGATTTTAATCGGTTTATTTTTATTTATTGAGTGACTAGAGGTTTTAAAATAATTATTTTAGCTAAAAAATTTATTATTTATGGAAATATATATTTGATAGTTATAACATTAAAATTTTGATTAAATTATTTATTTATAAATATTTGAGGTACTATTAAATTTTTTATGATTCGATTTTGAGGTTTAAATTTCAAATGAGATTTTTAGAATTTAGAACATAATAAATCCATATTTGAAAATTTTGGAAAATTCTTTTTATTAAAGTAAATAAGTTGGAGGATGTAAATAAATAATTTGGCTTATTAGAACATTATAATTCATTTATAAAATACTTAATTTTGGGTTGTGAAAGTTGTGGGAATTTAGAATGAAAATTAAATTAAATTAAATTAAACATTTAACTAATATATAAGCTTAATTATTAATTAATTAGCTTATATTAATTGTGTAGATTAATTATTGGTTAAGCAAAGGATTGACCTTGTGGTAATCCTTACTATTGTTTTGGAGAGAGGTAACTACTTTCCACTTGTTATATGTGCTAATATGTTGTTTGTGAGTATTTTTCTATTTAGAATAATGATTTATTATTTGGAACTCGAGTAGATATATTGTACCTTTTGAGCTATGAAAATTGTCTTGTGGGATTCTTGGAATTGTGATTGAGAAATTTGAAAAAATGTATGATTTATATCTTATGGATTATATTGAGAAACGATTGAGACATTTTTGGTTATATTGTGAATGATTGGTTGTTATTTGAATTTTTGGATTGAGCCATATCCTACCACGTGATAAGGCCGCCATTGGTGCATATTGGTTGGCTTTCTTTATCCCCAGAGTAAGAGATAGACTTTTGCGGCTTCTTATTCATCCCCCCAAAGTGTGGGATAGGCCTATAGTAAGGGATAGACCTTTGTGACTACTTATTCATCTCCTAAAGTGTGGGATAGGCCTATATGTCTAATTGATCCCCTATAGTGAGAGATAGACTTATGTAGCTTGTTTGTTAGCCCTTGTAATAAGGGTTTGGATGATTGAGATTATCTAAATATATATTTTATATTTCCATTGATATATCTATATTTCTTGAGATTTATATAATTGTCCCACTTGACATCTTATGAGCACATGTTGGTATGTATGACAAGTTGAAAAGCTAGTTACTGAGGCGTTTGTCTCACCCCGTGGTTTCTACTATCTACAGGTAATAGTTCAAATGATGATCTGTCAGGAAAGGCCTCAGATGCTTATTGTGCTGTTATTGCTTGTATAGCCTCTCTTCTTTATTTTATGTGCTGATTTATTATATATTGCCACATAGGGCCTATCTACTATGATGTTATAAACTAATACATTCGATTACTGCTAATTGATGAGAGGGTCGTTAGAAGGCCAGAGGCCTCTAAGACTATGCACGTGACACTCTTTTGAAAGTATAAGTTTTGTTTGGGCTAAGGCTTGAATGATATTTTTGGACTTTGGAAGTCCAAGGCCCAAGTTAATTATCGATATTGCTCATAATATAAGTTTATTTCTTTTAACCATGATAGTGATTTTAAAATTTTAAGGTTTTTTCTTTTTTATCATGGTTAATCTTTTGAATAAATTGTTTGAATTAATCTAAATGGGTTGTGTAAGAACAAGCATCACAGTCGTATTTGCCCAACAACACTTGAATAGAGTGACAGTGAAAAATCCTTGATAATTTAACTCAACAATATCAATGAGCATTCCATAGTAAGGAATGCCTCCAAATCGTATGTCACTATCACTGGTACTAGCATAACTCCTCATTCCAAATGTGCCAAAAACTCCAGAGTTTTGTGTGAGCAAACCCTGATCACGCGTTACTGTACGGAACTTGAACCCATTGACATTATATGTAGTAAACCTCCTGGCATCATCAAACAGACCATATGTAAGACTTTTGAGTTCAACTATGTGGGGGTTATTGTTATTATGTATTCGATGTGTAAACCAACTCGAAAATTCCCTATGGACTCTCTTGTCAACCTTAACAGATGTTTGTGAATGAACCCATAGCTACTACCTAACATATCTGCTAAATTCCCTATAGTGTTACTTGTTAGAGAAGACAATGATGAAGAAATTTTAAACATAAAAAAAGAAAATCCATATACAATTTACTAGAGAAAAGGTTCAACTTGAGTGCAATTTATCAAAACATATTTGTGTGCTTGTAACTTCTCGGTAGGAGTCAGTTTGAAGTATTCGAACGATCCAACTGATTTCCCAATAGTAGGGAAGAAGTCACTCAAATTGGAAGGACCTAGTGGACAATCATCAATGCATGGGGGGCGATTGAAAGTTGTCCCGATAATCATCAATGCATGGGGGGCGATTGAAAGTTGTTCCGATGTTG